GGACACGGGCTGAGTAATCCTCCGTCCCTGCTGGCGGAAAACCCAGGTGGGGGGGAGCAGGGTGCCGGCGGCATCCCTGCTGTGCCAGGGGGTGAGCCCCCACCCCAATATGGGGGGATGGAGGGGATGATGGCACCCAGGGACACGGCACTGCCGGGGGTGGCTCTCCAGCACGGGCTCCGGGTGTTTGTGTGGGAATGTGGGGAGCATCGTGGCATCCCTTGGCCCAGAGCAGCTGGGGGGCACAGTGGGTGACGGTCTTCAGGAACCCCCTTTTCTAGGGCTGAGCCCCAAAATTGATGTTGGTGACCCCAAGCGTGTCCTGGAGGGGGGGGGACAGCTGGCTGCCGGTACTTGCATAAAAATAGAGGAAGGGAGGGACCAGCTGCGACTTTCGGAGGCTGCGTTGTCCCGGCGCTGCCCTGGGCTCGCGTGCGAGCGGCTGGGTTTGCTGCGCTTTGTCCTCTCTTGGGGTTTTGTTTTTCTTCTCCCTCCTGCCCCAGCCTGGGGTGATGGGAGGGGATTGGGTCCTCCCTTTGTTGGGGACACTGGTGGGGTCCCGGTGGTGTTTCTGGCCATGGACCCGGAGGTGTGGTGGTGGTGGTGATGGTGGGGGAGCAGGGAAGAGCTTGGTGCTGTTGGGTCTGGGACACCCCACAGCCAGCCCCCCAGAGCTGGTGGCCGGGCTCAGGATGGGATGGGACAGGAGGAAGGAGCTGGGCACCCAGGCCCTGGGATGGGTCACCCCAGTGTCCCCACTAGTGATGTCCCAGGTGCAGGCAGCTGCTCTTGGCTCCGAGATGAGCACTTAGGCTTTGCTCAGAGGAAGCAGGCTTATATATATATATATAAAAAACATGGTTTTTTACACATGTGCATTAAAAATATATATTTAAATATATATATATTGCTTTTTGGTGCATATATATATTGCTCTTTTTTGTGGAGCAGTGTATAAATTGCTTTTTATATATATTAAAAAGCATATATATATATATATATATATATATATATATTGCTTTACAGAAGAATATCTCCCTGAAGCTGAGCCCCCCCAGGGCTGTGGGTACCAGTGGGTGCCAGGGCAGGATCTCAGTGTGCCCCAGCGCCGCTGCCGTAGCTGGGGCTGGTCTGGTCTCTCCAGAGCCCCCGGGTTTCCTGCTCCGGGGCCGGAGCGCGGTTTTCCGGGCCGGAGGCTGGCTGAATCACCGGAGCTGGCGGGGGGGGGGACACGGGCTGAGTAATCCTCCGTCCCTGCTGGCGGAAAACCCAGGTGGGGGGGAGCAGGGTGCCGGCGGCATCCCTGCTGTGCCAGGGGGTGAGCCCCCACCCCAATATGGGGGGATGGAGGGGATGATGGCACCCAGGGACACGGCACTGCCGGGGGTGGCTCTCCAGCACGGGCTCCGGGTGTTTGTGTGGGAATGTGGGGAGCATCGTGGCATCCCTTGGCCCAGAGCAGCTGGGGGGCACAGTGGGTGACGGTCTTCAGGAACCCCCTTTTCTAGGGCTGAGCCCCAAAATTGATGTTGGTGACCCCAAGCGTGTCCTGGAGGGGGGGGGACAGCTGGCTGCCAAGTGGGGGCTCTTCCCCAGCTGGCACAGCTGGAGTGGGGGGCAAGGGCATGGAATTGGCTGGTGCCCGTGGAGGGGGGGAGGGACCACCCCGGCTACGGCAGGGGCAGAAACAGAGCAGCAAAGTTCCAGGATTCCTGGAAAAAAGCCTGGCACAAGGATAGTTTTGTCCAGTTTGCGAACACCAACGGCCCTTGTTGGCACTGGGGGGACGTTAGCTCTGCTCCCCCAGGGACACCAGCCCCAGCCCACCTCCTCCTCCTCCTCCGTGTGCTCCGAACGTTCTTCCCACTGCCCATTTATTTCTATTTTATTTATTTTTGTGGGGTTTTTTTTCCCCGCGTCTCCATGGGCTGCCTTGGACAGAGGGGTCTGTGCCTCCCCGATGCCCCCTGGTTTTTGGGGGGTCCCGCCTGGGGACGTGGCATCCCACCGACCACCAATGCCTGGGCTTCTTCTGGGAAGCAGCCAGCCCTGTGCCGGAATGGGACGGCCCCTGGGAAAAACGCCCTGTGTCGCTGTGGGGTTTTAAAAAAAAAAAAAAAAAAAAAGACGCGATTATTTTTACAGCAATTTTCCATCTATTTTGGGTAGGAAGGAAAATGTCGAGGGGGAATCTCTTTTTATTATTATTTTCTGAGTCTTTAGGGTAACTCTGCTTTTAACCCACACCTTTGAGAGTCCTGTTTGATGGTGGGGACCCCACGGTGCCGAGCGGGGTGGGCTCTGGGCAGCTGTCCCTCCGTCCAGCCGTCCCTCTGTCCTGCAGGGAAGGGGATCGGTGGGTTTGTCCGGTGATAAAAACCGGTAAAAAATCCATAAATCCATGCTCAAGTAGTATCTGCTGTTTGCCGGGCTGGGAAAACTTGCTGGCACAGCGACTGGGGATGGGGCTCCGGGTGCCGGTGATGGGGATGGCTCCGGACCTACTGATGGATTGAATTCCAGCTTCTCCCTCATAATAAGGAAAATTTTCCAGCTGTGCATTGCTTCCATCCGCGCCTGGATATTTGAAGGCACGAAGCAGGATGGTGCTGTGCGGCCAGATGGAAAATCCCCTCTCAGCCACGCGGGGTGAGGTGGACTCTGAAACCTGTGACCAGCTCCTTAAATATATGGCATTAAATCTGCGCTGGCCAGAAAGCATCTCAAAATCGCGGGCTGCAAAATATAGGTTGGTTAGATAGATTTTTCGCCGCTGGATTAACGGAGCGTTTTGGAGCTGGGCAGTTTGTTTTTAACTAAAAAAAAAAAGGGGAGAAATCGGCCCAAGAGAGAGCTCTCCTCCTATTTTTGACAGGCACCGCTCTGGGAATGAGCGCTGCCTGGTCCCAGGAAAAGCAGAGAGTGGGCAGGGCTGGAGAACGTCTGGCTGTGGGGTCACCCCATGGTGGTGGGCTTCTCTCTGTCACCCCCCCCCCCCGATGCCTGGCTGGTGGGTGGGGGGGTGTCTGAAGGATGCACAGCCCCCTCTGATGCTGCCTGCCTTCTCCCTGCTTTGGGCAGGGGGGGGAAGCTGGCTGCTGGCACCCTGCCCGGGGATTGTTTTGGGGCTGAATGGACGGCAGCCGGGGTTTTCCGGGGATTGGAAGCCCTTCCCCTCTGCCGTGCTCTCCTGGGGAGGGGGGCAGGAAGGGTCCCGGATGGATGGGGAGGGAACGGCAGGCAGGAGGCTGGGGGGTGACTGCCTGGCACCTCCTTGCCCCAGGGATGATTATAAGCAGGGTCCACTTTTGCTCTGTGCCTCAGTTTCCCTCCCCGGCACCCATCGGGGGAATGCTGCCCAGCCCGGCGGTATGGGGTGGCCTTGCCAGAAACCGGAGATATTTCATGGAAAAAATGAAGGGATACGTCGAGTCCTTCCCCACCCTCCCAACCCTGCTCCCAGCTCCGGGCAGGAGTTGCCAGCACTGACCACGAATGCCGGCTGCCGCGTCAGCATCTCCCGGGCGCCGGGACGGCGGTGCCGGGGAGCCCCCCCCCACCCCCCCCCCCCCCCCCCCCCCCC